ATATACCCATCACCACCATATCTTTATGGGATTTCTTAGTATCTTTTGTCTTGCCTTTAATGTTGAGAAACATTCCAATCAAAGTATCACATGCATTTTTCTCCACATGCATCACATCAAGACAATGTCTTACATCAAGACTAAACCAATATGGAAGGTCAAAGAACACTGACCACTTTTTCCAACTATTTTTCTCCATAGGCCCTTTTTGTTTAGCTTTTAGTTTCTTTCCAAAGACAACCTGAATGTGTTGTTATCTTTTATAAACTTCCTTCCCAATTAAGGGCTTTGGAGCAAAATCAAACTCATGTTCTCCATTAAAAGTCTTCTGCAATCTATGGTATGAATGATTAGGTCTAAAATATTTTCGATGACTAAGATAAGCAATTTTTTCCATGTCGTAATTGGTGGTGGATGTATCAAATTCACATATAGGACACGTTTTATGTCTCTAGATGTTGTAACCAGACAAATTGCAGTGTGCAGAAAAGTCATTGATTGTGCAAAACAACATGGCACACAACTTAAAGTTATCACATGTATACATATCATCCACATCAATGTCTTCCTCCCACAAAACTCTTAAATTCCATCAATGGAGTTAAATAAACATCTATGTCATTTCCTGGTTGTTTTAGACCCGAATCATCATTGATAACATCATATAATTGCGCTTCATGCACAACGATGGAGGTAGGTTGTAAATTACTAGAAAAACGGGTCACGGCGTATGGTTAGTACTCAAATTACCAAAAGGGTTCATTCTGCCGGTGGCAAGTCCAAGCCTAAGGTTCCCCGACTCTAGTGCAAACTCTAAAAAGAAGGAATCAATTTTCTTTCATTGCAATGAATCAGCTACATGGCAAATTTTTCCATCACACACTCTTTCATCTACATTCTATATAGTATTCTTTGCATCATTTGCATTAGCAAACAATCTCTTGAACCTTTGAATTACCGGTAGGTATCACATCACCTTGGAAGGAACACTCTTTCTAGTTACACTATCATCGTCTTCAACACCACTGGCTTTCTTCTTGTAGCGTAAATCTCCACATCTCGGGCACTCCTTTAGGTTTTCATATTTTTTTCCTATATAATATTGATTCATTACTACATGTATGTATTTTAACATAATCCAAACCCATTGGATACAATATCTTCTTGGTCTTATAACTATGGTTCGACAACGTGTTACCTTCTGGAAGCATTTTTTGCAACAATTCAAGCAATTCAATTAAACTTTTATCCGTCCACCCGCCTCTTGCCTTAAGATTAAATAATCTTAACATTGCTGACAATCTTGTAAAACTTTTGCTTCTTTAATACAACGACTCTTCTATGTCGTTTTGTAAAGTATCTACCACATTAGCATTCTTGAAAGCATCTACCCCAATATCACAAATCATATCTTCTAGAGTATCATTCAGAAATTCATCATCATCTTCAACTGTATATGACAGAAATCTTTTTTTTGTCCTTTCACCATGTCATACCCATTTCGTGTAATTTTGAATAATTTCATCACAACCTAAATGATTGAATATTTGATCCCTTGGATGTTTGTGCATGTTTTAGAAAATGTTACAAGGACACCAAAAAATCCCCTTCTCCTTAGGAAGTTTTTTTTCCCGCAAAATCAAAAAATTGAATCACTTCATTCTCATACTCTTTACTTAATCTATTGGTTTTCATTCAACTATAATCCATAATCACATACAGTTTTTGAAAATAAAATAAAAATAGAACACAACCAACAATAACTACCAGAACAACAACAAATACCATAACAATATTATAGTAAACAATATAAGTCTCAAAAAACCATAATAATAATAACAACAACAACCACATACGGCAAAAACATCACCAACGAAAACAACAACAACAATAATGGAGAATTTAAATATACCAGAAGTGTGATGAGAAACTCAACAGAGAAGAATTCGAGCTTACTTCCTCCTCAGAGAAGAAGGGTGGTGATTCTCAGTCTTGGGAAACTCCTTTGTTCGCTGGAGAAGAATGGGTTCATTTTGTTCGCTAGGGTGCAAAAAGTGAATGAGACAAAACATTATGATTCTGAAGGAATAAAAATTATTTTTAGAGTTTTTATCTTGGTTTTCTTCATTAACCGAGGGATAATATTTGACATAAAATGTATAAAAAATAAAGGCGCCTTTTAATTGTAGATAAAACATAAAATTGCAGGAGTTGGGAATCGAAGCTCAAACATTGAACAACATTTTACCTCGGTTTTCCTAGAAAACCGAGGTGAAAGATAAAGTTTCTTTAAAAAGTAATATATAGCGCAACCTAAGTCATTTGACATCAGATTTTCAATAACTGGGGTGAAAGCTTCGTCATGAAATATAGTATTTGTAGTAGTGACTTCTTATCCCTAAAAAAAAAGACAAACACTAAAAGGTCATGAGACATAGAACATGACGAAGCACTAGAATTAGATTTCAGGTTAGAGGAAATGTTCATAGATGATATGGGGAAGACGATGAAATCATGCAACCAAAGACCCATATATTTCTATTACCATTTATTTTATAGGAGACCCATCAAAGACTATTAAAATATGGGTCGGCCTTCAAACCCCGTGCTTAAGGCTTTGGCAAAATGTTTGCAGAAAAACCATAATTTGTTCCCATGTTCAGAAAAATAAATGCATCTTCTTAACCCGAAGGTAGGATGTCATACCTTAGGCCTCTGATAAGACATCCCTTATGTGGCCCAGGGCGGGTGGAATCAACCGCCAAAAAAAGCTTATATCACAAGGAAGGTCGTAGACAAGCTCCTTGAAGCAAGATTAATAATATAGGTGAGACACACAACTTGGATTTTGTTGTCTAGTAACAAAAGTAAGTATACTTTATTGTCTCCACAAAGACTGATGTGTTTTAAAATCTCGATCAAGAGTTTTAATAATTTTAAGAATGTTTTGTAGATAACTTTTGGTAAAAGAATGTAATTGAACTTTTGGTGTTTAACAGAGGAGAAAACTTGTTGGGGTTAGATTCATCGACCTAACCTCATGTTTAATTGTGATCAGTATATGCAATTCTAATAAATTATTACTATTACCACCCATCACTTTTTGTCGTAGTTTATGTATAAATCAACAGCATGAAACCAATCATATTGCCTAATAGACGATTTCTCATCCTATTAATCAATACGATAACATTAAACTTTGATAGTTTTTGTGGATGCTAAACTTAAATCTATCTCTGGAGTTTAGCGTCTAGCAGATGAAAAGTTTGGATCTAGTAATGAAAAGTATCTCTCGATATCGATTTAAAACCATGAAAACATGTTCTAGCTAGCTAAACAAAAAAAGCATTAAGTGTGAATTTAATCATCAATATTAAAGTATAAGAAGAATTACATAATGTCAGGATCAAAATCAATCTGTGAGTATTCATACGACTACAACTAACCATAATAAAAGAGAAATGAGCTACACCTACTCATCGTAGATTTACAATTATGATCTAGAAGAAAGAAGTTGTATATCATCTTTGTTGATTCCTCAAACAACGCTTTCACCCTCAATCTTCCTTATCCTTTCCTCTCCTGTTGTGTTTTCTGATATGTAGTGAACCAAAGTCACATCCACCAAAAGTCTTCTTTCATACTAATTCGCTTGGATTGCTATTTATAGAGCTTTATTGAGAAACCCTCGCTTAGTGAGGCGCTGAGCTCGCATAGAGAGTCTACTTTTCTTCCCTTCTAAGTCATGTCCAACTCATCTTCAAGTGGGCTTTGCAACCATACCTCGCTTAGCGGCGCCTAATCTCACTTATCGAGCAAACTCTTCCTTAACTCTAAAGAAACTTATCTAATAAATCATTGGACCGCCATACCTCGCTTAGTGAGGCTGCCACTTCGCCTACTGAGTCAACACTAACTTCCTCATGAAGTAACTTGGCCTTGAAGCAATCTTTAACTGCATTGCTTCGCTTGTCGAGGTTGCAGTCTTACTTAGCAAATGTCTTCCTTCTTTGTGAAGTAACTTGGCTCTGAAGAAACTTTTGAACCGCCATTGCTCACTTAGCAAGACCCTGTCTCCGCGTGGGGATAATATCTCTGGAAGGTTTTACTTTATTTTTCCATGTTTTAATTGGGCGAGCCTCTGTTTTTCTAGGTGAGATCTTTATTGCTTCATGACTTTCTTGGTTTATTTTACATGTACTTAATGAATACACAATTAAAATAATCATATAAATATTTTATCTTGTTTTATCGATAAATTAAAATTTTTTCATTAATTACTTATGAATTAAATTAATAAGTGTTTATATATTTTAAATAATTTTGGCACTTATCAACTCTTTTCAACTTTATCTTTTTCTTATCCTCAAATAAAATCAATACAATGTCAAGTGGCTAAGAAAATTCATTATGCATAGCTCATGTGAGGTTTCATGACTTAATCAAGAATTTTTCAAAAACTTTGTAACATGGCATGGAATGATTTTCTTAAAATGCATATTCGCAATCAACAATATAAGCATCTATAAATCATAACATAAAGATGAAAAACTTGTTTAATCAAATCTATAAATCATAACATACAGATGAAAAACTTGTTTATTTCAAAACATGTTTTATATTATTAGTCAACTTTTCATCTAAATCATGATTTTACTAAATATCACTCAACTTATTTAACCAAACCGATTTTTAATTACACAATACAACTGTGTACTTCACCTTACACCAAGTATTTGACACCATTGTCTACAACTTTTTTATATTGATTTTTATTTCTTAAAACAGTCAAACAAGATATTTTTGTCTATTTTCCTATTTTTCCTATTTTTATTTTTCTTATACGCGAAGAATTAAATGTCTTGAGAATTGTCACACAAATACTTGATATAGCAAGGTTCTTGCATAGGAGAAAGTGAGAACTGTTAAAATCAACTTTCGAAAAACAAAAAAAGTACATAGAAAATAAATAATATTATTAATGACACCATAGAGAGAAACTAACTTCTACCGCATGAATGTGAAAATTGCCTTTTCTTCCCACACCTGTAGCAGAATTTGCATCCACACCTAGAAAGAGAGTTTATAATTTATTATAATTAATAACAAATTTAAACATACAGTGCTACAATGATTAAGGATTAGCGAGAGGCTAAACAATAAACCTGCATTTCATGTAACTGCATCCACTACTTCTCTTGACATACATGGAGCAATTTGGACATCTTTGCCACTTTGCTTTTCTGGCCAACTCCAAAAACTTGTTATCCAAATCATTCTTGTCATTCCTTTTCAATTGTTGGAAATTCTGACAATTCGTTCCTGCATGCCATGGAACTTTGCACCGCGCGCAAAAGTTTCTGTGACACGAAGGGCACTTTGAACTGTTGGCGAAATCTCCTCTCACGCCATTTCCTTTCACCAACAAAACAGAGCAATTCTGATAAGGGCAGTAAGTTTTTGGCTCCGTCGGAGCCGAAGACTTGTAAATTAAATTCTCCCATTTAGCAATAAGTTGTTTTGGCAAAATGTGTTGCACATGTTTTGGCTTAAATTTCACACAACAATTTTGACTTGGACACATCACCTTATGCGCATTATCATTTATTTGAACAGTTACATACTTGCATATGCAATCAACACAGAAAAGGTGCTTGCACTTTCTTCTTTGAAAAAGTTTGGACCTTATTTTGAATATATCAGAATCTGTTTTCACATCAAAGCATATACCACATGTTTTGTTTGCTGCATTGGTATGGGAGGAGAGTTGTTTTGAGGAAACTTGTTTTCCAAAGAGTGAGAGCTTCATGATTCAATCCAATTGGTTAATTCTGCATTTGTTCCTGGAATATCTCATAAAAACTGCCAATTAAGAAAAAACAAGACCAAGTTGGTATTATTATTATTATTATTAATTTATTATCACAATTTGTACAAATATTTCCTATGCATTAAGCCCTTCTTTTTTTTGTGCCGAATTACTGCATGATCATATTGATGTATCTATCAGATTTGAATCAAGACTATAAGAAAATACTTTATTTTTTTTACAGCTAAAAACATCAATCCCCTACAATACAACCGATACAACGGAAAAACAGAACAAAAATTGATTCATAGTACTAGACTCCCTAGCTAGAAACAAAATGAGATTGAAACAAGAAACAAGAAACAAAAACCAAAAACCTAAGTCTTCATACATAAATATAAAGAGAAGTCAAATGGGCAACAAGCTGCGCGGCGCTACCCCTTCTTTTTAGAGTGGGAAAGCATTATACCTTTTTTTTCCTAGTGAAGTTTGTAAAGAAGAAGACATGAAATGTAGGCTTTACAGCTGTGCTGTTGATTTCTCTCCTGCCTTCAACAATAACAACAACCAAGCCATTAGATTAATTTGACTGAAAAATACATCAAAATGAGAAGATGAAGTATTGATCCAAACTCATACAAAGAATAAAATGCAATGCAACCAACTAGCCTCAAAATGATATTACAGACACACACATGACACTGAGTTTTCTTTTGTTTTGATTTTTGTTTTGGTAACATAGACAATGACAGAGTCCTACTTTTATGTCTTTCTGCCTTTTGTAGATATCTGATGGCCCACCATCTGTTTTCAACTTTATTCTCCTAATGTGGATATTATAGTCCCACCAGATTCTCTCTTTTGAATTTTATTTTATTAGTTTATCACAGTGCAATTATGATTGGCCTGCTCCCTCTATCTGACTCTGCTTTTGAGCACATAATAATAAGAACTATAAATAACAGAATAAACAATTATTTTAGCCACTAAACTATCATCTTCTCTTTAATATAAGATGTTAGAGAAAATATGTGTGACAGTGTGAGTATCGTGTTTAGTGTCGTGTTTAGTGTTCGTGGTTAATACTAGTTTAGAGACTAAATTGAAGGTTTTTGCTACGAAGATAAATAATAGAAGAACACTCATTGAGAGAGAAATAAGGAGAGAGTGAGAGGAAATGGGATCCAACCGGTGGTGCATGAGCTCGCGGTGGTGATCGAAAGTTTCCTGTGGAAGATCTGGTTCGGGGTGGTGGTGGTTTGATACGAGAAGAAGAAGAAGGAAGTTAGAGGAATGGTGGAGAGTGAAGATTGTGTGAACTCATGCCATAACGATAACTCTTAGGGGCAAAGGTTTCTATTTTAATAAAAGAAAAAGGAGATTTTTATTTCCTGATATGTTTTATAATTAATTTTAAAATGAATGAAAATGGATAAATGTTACTCGTGAGCCTAATTTCCTGATAAGTTTTTAAAATGAAAATGGATAAATGTTACTCGTCAGCCTAAGTAATGGGCATTGCCCTTGATGAATGGATTTATCATTTTGGATGTTTTTAGGTTTTTTTATTTTTAACTTATACTTTTATTCTATTAAAAAAATAGTAAAATGATGCACACAAGTAATGACAAAGTTTTATTATTCCAAACTTGTCCGAAAGTAAATGTGTAAAAAAAATTTAATTGGTTTTGTTCTTGAAATAACATTCATGTTGATACTCATATCTCAATAACTCTTGTTGTCGAATAATACATTATTCAATAACGAGGCAGTAAAGCTAAGAGGTTGTTTAAATCAACATGCATCATAACATCAAACTATGACTAGTCGAATTACGAGTCAGTAAAGTTAAGAGGTTGTTTAAATCGACATGCATTTTAATACCTATTGGAACAAAATTGGTTTGTCTCATATTCCTTAAATTTTGATGATAACAAATTATTTAAAGAACAATTGAGTATACTAATATTTGTTCAAGTGTACATGACCATAAACTAAAATTTCGGGAATAAACCAAGTATTGGTTCTGACTATGAACATCTAAAGAGAAACTTACAGACCAGAATTTGAAGAATCGAAAACTAATGACAAGACTCTGAAGAAGTCAACATCTAAAGGTCAGAGCCTGGAGGAGTCAGCCTCTGAAGACCAGACTTTGAAGAAGCCTGTCTCTGCTAATCAAAACCTGAAGTTAGTCAAAGCGCAAGGAGCAAGGTGACTGCGATAGGTCATTGTCATACTTTGAGCTTGCTTTGTCTTCTTTTGATCACATGAAGACCCATGTTTTTTCTTCATAGAGTCAGCTAAGATGCAACTGATAATTCCTCTTATAACAAAGGTATTTCAAACAAGCTTTCAACAACATTAACCATTTGAAGAAACATCTCAATGTCTCTATTCAAGCTTCTCAAAGACTCTTTTATGCTAGATCTTCAACGTTCCTTCTCTATTTAAGGAGCTGAAGACTTAAAGAATAATAACAATGAACTATTAACATTCAAAGAGAATTTACTTTGTCAAAACATAAGCACAAGTTTAACTTAGGATTTCTTACCTTTGTGTTTTCTAGAAATCCCTAAGTCTTAAAGAGTTTTTTCTGCGTTTTATTTTGGCTACACCTCTGATTGTATATCAAGTGTATTATTCCAAACAATCTTTTATCTGTTAGGTAGATTGTTAGAAGTCTCTTACTTAGTGTTTGAGCATTTGAAGTCTCTTTGCTTGTGTGTTTGGGCATAAAAGTATCTTGCTTGTGTGCTTGAGCATTGGAAGTCTCTTGCTTGTGTACTTGAGCATTGAAAGTCTCTTGCTTGTTGATTGAGCATTGGAAGTCTCTTGCTTGTGTACTTAAACATACTAGTCGATTACTTTGTGTTTGAGCATTGGAGGTATCTTGCTTGCGTGCTTGAGAATTGGAAGTCTCTTGCTTGTTTGCTTGAGCATAGAAGTCTCTTACTTTGTGTTTGAGCATTGGAAGCCTCTTGTTTGTGTGCTAGAGCATTGGAAGTCTTTTGCTTGTGTGCTTTAGCATATAAATCTCTTACTTTGTGTTTGAGCATTTCAAGTCTCTTGCTTGTGTGCTTGGGAAAATTGTAATCGTGTGTGATTATAGTGAAAATATCTTATAAGTACAAGGGAATTGGATCACTCTCTAGTTGTGAGAGGAACCAGAATAACTCTGTGTGTCTATTTTATTTCTTGCATTACTTATCTGATGTCTACCACTTACCTATGAATCAAATTATATACTTTGTATTTAGAATTTGACAAGAGATTTTAAAACAAAGAAAAAATCAACACAATTCACCCCCCCCCCCCTCTTGTGTTTTTCTCACCTTCAGTTGACAACAGAGCACGATCTCTTCTAAGCACTTAATAGTGGTGTAGAAAAGATCCTGGGAAAAACATATTGAATCATGTCTAGAGTCTCTGAATCTGATAGTGGTACTCCTAATCCACATCCTACTATTAGTCATGAAAATAACACTTAAGAAAAGAATAATTATACAACTATACCTCCAACTTTCAATGGAGACTCTGTTGAGTTTGAATGGTGAAAGAGAAAGATGTATACTCGTATCATAGGTCATAATGATGAGTTGTGGGACATTCTGGAAGATGACATTGATATTCTAGTTAATGGAGTGGGAATGGTCACTGACAGAAAAACTCTCACACCCATTTAGAAAAAGACCTATAGAAAACACCATAAAGTTAAAGGCATATTGGTTTATGCTCTACCTCATTATGAGTACATCAAGATTATTTATAAATCTACAGCTAATAGCATTTTTGAATCCCTGTGTGCTACATATGAAGAGAATCAACAAGTTAAGGAAACTAAGGTCAGCCTTCTCGTTCAAAAGTATGATATGTTCAGAATGGAGGAGTATGAAGACATTGAAACCATGTTCTCAAGGTTTCAAGTTCTTGTATCTAGAATTCATGTTCTGAACAAGAGCTATACTATTTTTGATCATGTCAATAAGATTCTTAGGAGTCTTCTTGTCAGATACAGACCTAAGGTGACAACTATCCAGGAGGCTAAAAACTTAAACACATTAAGTCATGAAAGCCTTATCAGCAACCTTCAGAGCCATGAGATGGAGCTCAATGGAGATGAACCTGCCAAGAAGTCAAAGCCTCTTGCTTTGAAATATGTTTCCAAATCTACTAAAGACTCAAGTTTGGGAGTTTGAAGAAGCTTCTCATGTAGAAGGTTCTGAAGATGACTCAGATGATTAGGAAATGGCATTTATCATCAAAAGGTTCCAGTATCTCGCCAAGAAGAACAAAAGATTCTCTGGAAGAAGTGGTGGCTTCAAAGGATCAAGTTCTAAATAAAAGAAGGATGGTCATAAGGGATGTTTTAACTACAAAAAGGTTGGTCACTTCATTGCTAAATGTCCAGAAGTACAAAAGAACAAGTCAAAGAAAGGAAGATATTAAAAGGACAACTTCATAAACAAGTTCAAGAAGAGTTCCATGGAAAAATGGGATGAACTTGAAAATAAAGAAGACTATGAAAAGGATGAAGAACAAGCTAGTTTTGCTTTGATGGCTCTTACATCTTCTGAAGAAGAATCTGACTCAGATTCTAGTTCAAATTCTGAAGAAGTGGATGGGGTATTTTCTAAACTGTCTCATTTTGATTTAATTACTTTGATTCAAAATTTTATTGTTAGAACACATATTGGTTCTTAATAATAACTCTTTGTTTTGATGATAACTGTTAGGAAATTTTATATTTAAGAATTATATACTCTAAAATTTGCTTGAGAGTTTTACTGCAGATTGAAATGAAATTATCACTCTAGAAGCAAATCTGATTGGTATACAAGAATGTAACTGACTCTGAAGCGCCAGATGCATTCATTAGAAGATTTTGATTGCTGTTTACAGAAGATCCTGAGCGTAGTCTCCAGAAGGATCTGAAGCAGAAGCTCCAGAAGAATCTGAAGCAAGCAGAAGCATCTGAAGCTAGTCAGAAGCATCTGAAG